AGGCGTTTAGGTCTGCACCGTCAGCTCCTTCGCCCTCTCCCTGCCCGCCAGCCTGCCGCGGCTCAGGGCCCTCCTCTCCCTCGGCCCAGCAGCCAGGCCCGGCCCGGCCCCATAGCTGTGCCCCGGTGAAAAAACGGGTAAGATCTTGAGACAGCCTGTCCTGGTCCTTCCTACCATTCAAGCGTAGTAGGAAGGGTGGTTTGTGAAATAGGTTTGCCAATAATTTTATCTTGTGCCTCTGCTTTCCCTTGCGAATGCCTGTATGCCGCACCGCAGCGTCCTCATTGCAGAGTTCATCAAAGTCCCCACGGATAATTCATCTTCCTCCCCTGTCCAGGAAAATAAAAGTCAGGTTCTTGTCTTCCGTGATCTGAATTCATATTCAGGAATTACACTCATTTACCAACTTCTCACTTCATATTCAAACGTCTGAATGTCAGATGATGGCATTACCCTCTGTGGAGAAAAACCTAAGTTGGGTCACCCTGACAAATCGCTGGTCACCTCTGACGCTCTGAAACTCTTTTTCAGATCAGTTTCCACTGCTAACAACGAAGAGGGTGTTCTGGAAAGGGGTGCTGGAGGAGCTGCTGTGGTTCATCAAGGTTCAGTGTTTGGATGTCTCTGTGGGTGGTGTGCCTGAGAGTGGTGTCAACAGAATGAACCAGTGTGGAGTGGATTAAGGAATTTGGGGTAACTGCAGATGCTTCTGTTTGTACAACAGGGCAGAAGAAGTGCAGCCACCGAATATTTTGACTACACGCGGAATCTTGAAGACACTCTGTGCATTTTAGTGGAGACTATTGCGTTGTTACCAATCAGAAGAGTTTTTCTGTTTCTTTTTAAGGGAAATCGTCTGAAATAGTGAGGGCTTTCGACAATTTGCCTATACCCCACAGTTACAAAGCCTCATACAGTCTCTTTTATTAGTGTTTGAATAGGAATACTAATATGAAGTAGACTGTAGGCAATTTAATGATCTGCTTTTTAATATTGAGATAGCTTTTATTGATTTGAACAGAAACAAGCAGTGTGGAACCACAGGTGTAGTAAGAGTGATGTAAACACTAGGGGTTTTAGTAGCAAAAACCTGAGATGTAATAGAACTAGTAGCTGTAGTTAGTATTAAAATTCAACTGTAGATAGTACATTACTGTACTTACAGATGTAAGTGTTCCTTTATGTGTTGTGACATTGTACAGGTATGGGAAAATCTACCTAACCCTTTGCTACATAGCAGGACTCCAATACACGTTCGTTTTTTTAAAGTATCTTTTTTTCAAATGTAAAAGACTAGACACTCTCCAAAACAGAACACTTTCTATGTTGGATTTTTGAGTGTGCTGATATGGACATGTTGCAGGACTCAGTGAGATTTCCCTGGGTCATTTTGTCATATTTGTCATTTTTGTCATTTTAAGAAAAGACAATGCCTAGGCTGTACATTTTTTATTTGTCCACTTTTATCCATCTGTAAAGTAAAATCTTGTTCTCTGCAAATGTGCGTATGAAATGATACGCCACAGTTGACCTTGAGACTGTACTGTTTGTGCATTCACAAAGCTAGAAGAATCCTGAGTTAAATAACAGCAGCATGGCACTTCAAAATTCATCCTAGTATGTTGCTCAAAAGTTTTATTCTGTCCATGTTTTATTCTCATCCAGTATGTTAATCAGACTGTTCATCCTTTATAAGTGGAGAAATACTGTAGACTAGCAAAGCTTAATACAGCTGTTTTAAATCATGTCCTCTGTGTTGGGGTGAGGATGTAGACTTCTGTCTTGTGTTTCGTAGGGTTCTACAAATGCCAAAGAACTCTCTGCAAAGGGTGTGAAGATTTGGGATGCTAATGGATCACGTGAGTTCCTGGATAAGCAGGGTTTCAGCACCAGAGAGGAGGGAGATTTGGGACCAGTTTATGGTTTCCAGTGGAGGCACTTTGGAGCAGAATACAAAGATATGCATGCAGGTAATCACATACAAATACGATCTTGATTACTTAGTGAGATGACTATGACATGTCATTTCCAGAATACCAATACAGGGTGCTAATTTCCATGATAAAGTTGTGCTGGCAAGAACTGATGTTAGTGCACTACATTCACTGGAGACTGTGGAAGAGAAAGATTTTTCCACTCTGCAGCTGGAACAAAGTAGGATGTATCCATAGCTGATGATGCTGTGGACAGAATAGCTGTAACAAGTTGTGATGTGAAGTAGTACCTGTTGGTATTATTTTCAGTGGAACTGGTTCATTAAACTTACTCTGAAGTGTCTTGATGGCTCTTTTCTAAGTCACTGAACAAGAGCATGTACAAAACATGTAAAGGACTGCCATTAAAAAAAGAGATGCAAAAAAAGATTGTCCCTATCTGATTGAAGTAATTTTTAACTCAGAATAACAACGTGGTTTTATATTTTTTCCCCTTGTTTTTTTCTCAACACAGTCTTAAATTAAAGTTCACATTAAGTAAACTAGACTTAGTATTGGCATGTTGACCGCTGGCAGAATACAGTTTTATGCTAACACAAATGATGCAAATTGTGAACTGATACATCTGAAGACTTACTAAAATGTTTTAGCATTCCTGAATTTAAAGGGTCTGAGGCATAACGTAGTTTGGAAAAAATGAGCAAGATAAATCCCATAGGTTTCATTACTAGTAGATTTCCTTAAGTTGCATTACTAATGGATAGGTAATTAGCTTCAGGAACTAACATAATCATTTGAAAAGGCTTCTGGGACAGTATTGCTGGCAGAAGAATTCCCTGAGATGCTAATTTTATATTAGTACCTTGTGTGCTAGCTTGGGTCTCCCTGTAACCGTAATTTGGTGTTGCTTTGCAGTAAGAGTTATTAGAAAAAAATTAGTTACCAGCCATGCTGATGCACTGGCATGAGTAAGAACAATGAGTAACTAATGACTTTTATTCTGGAATCCATTCTAATGTTCAGTTAATTCCAGTGAATTTCTTATACAACTGGTATTGAGCCTAAAAATCAGCCTGCAAGCGTCATTGGGTGAAATGTAATATCCTGTGCTGTACATGATTAAAGTTCCCTTCTGGCACTTAATGCTAGGGAAATTTAGTTTTCATACATGACATTGTGAGTGCTAGATGGATGTGTTTATTCATCTGTCAAAAACTTTCTCCTTTTGAGCGTGCAAAGAATGCCGGCACCCCATGTGACTGGTCTTGGCATTTTTTGTTTTGTTTGTGGGTTTTTGGGTTTGTTTTTTTTTTTTTTTTTTGAAGAAGGAGCACCTTAGCATGCAAGTTTAGCACCTAGAAAGGCATCTTAATCCAGAAATGCAATGAGCAAATTACTTTAAATACCATGAATGACTAAGTGGTAATATCTTGTCCATTCCAGTACAGCTTTTGTCCTATTTAGGTAACAAGTCATCATGAATGATAAAGTAACACGCTTTGTCCAGTTAAGTGTTTTCTATTGCAACTTTTGTTTCCTGGGGTGTAGTATTTATGCAGACTTCTTTTTTGGTGTTAAAAAATGTTTAGTTGTTGAGGCTTGGAATGAAGTGTTGGACTGGATGATCTTAAAGGTCTTTTCCAACCTAAACGATTCTATGATTCTATAAATAGGAATGGTCCTATTTCAGGGCGTGCTAAAGGCACTCAAAGCACACAAAAGAGATGGTGGGACTTATGAAAGTACCATCATGACAATTTTGCAAGTCTTAGAGTACTGTAAGGAAGACTAAGAATAGCCTGCATTTGGAGGGTGCCAACTGATAAATTTAATGACTTTCAAAGTTACAATAAAATCTTCAGAGGTTGTCATTTGGGTATCACTGTTCAGTGGGATGTGGGCTGGGCTTTAAAAAAATACCATGACTTGAATCTATCTGGCTTAGGTCTTATTTGGTGTCTGTCTTCAGATTACTCCAACCAAGGAGTGGACCAGTTGCAAAAAGTGATTGAAACGATCAAAACCAATCCAGATGACAGAAGAATCATTATGTGTGCTTGGAATCCCAAAGGTATTGAACAGCAGACTTTAAGTGAATGCAGTTGCACATTATCTTGCTGCATGCTAAATTATGTTCTAATCCTGTGTCAACAGTCAGTCCCATTTGGTGTACTTGCTTATTGTTCATGAAACTACCAGGAATGCAGTAAAAATGGCCAGGAGTTATAAACTTGGTTCTCCTATTTAATTCTCATGTTCAGACCTCGAAAATTTTGAACCATTACTTCAAAGTTTTTCTCTCCAGGTTAAAGTGAGGGATATAGCTGGCTACCAGTGTCTTTGACATACAGTCTCTGTTCAAAGACAGCAATAAAAGATTAAAAAAAAAAAAAAAAAAAAAAAAGAGAAGAGAAAAAAAAAAAAAAAAAAAAAAAAAAAAAAAAAAAAAGAGTAGAGTATACCGAAGCAGTGTGTCTGATATATAGCCATATAATAAATTGTAAACTTACCAAAACCTTAAAACTGGAGAACACAAATATTTGTGTTGTAATCACCTCCTGAAACATAGGTTTTCTAGATATTCATTCACTCTGTAGGGCTACTTCTAAATAAGGGCTAGTGCCAGAGACTGTTTAACTTCAGCGGCAGTAGATCTGTGAACAAAAAAAATCACCCAGCATTTTCCACTTGTGTCTCTGAAAGGCAATGGCACATGCTGTTGCTGTTACTTTTAAGGTTAAATATTCTCAGATATCAGGAGATACCTGGTTAAAGTTTTCCTTACCTAGCTGTAAATGCACTATCTGCACTTTTAAGTGTAGATAAACACTCAAAAGATCTTTTGTTTTCTGATTATTTTTTTATTGATCATTACTTTTATATCTGAACAAGCAGTAAACACACGTTGCAATGAGAAGAGAGTGAGATGAAGCAGTTGGAAGTCGCTTTAGGGTGCATGCTTAATTTTACTTTTAATGTCTTCCTTTAGTAAAATCAACTGTCTCACCGAGGTGCATAAAACTAAACTGCTGTGCAGCATTATGGCATAAATCTGTTCTGTGGAATAATCTGTTTATGACTTTTCTGGTCATACAGCCCAGGAGACAGCTTGTCATGACCCAGACTTAATTGCTTAGGCAGCAGGTGCTTTTAAACAAGAGAAAAAGCAACAGAATGATAGTGCAGTTGGATTTTTGCTGTCTACTGTATCTCATTAAATGCTTGTTCAGTTTTTGCATCTTCTACATTTATAACACACTAATGCTGTTATGATTTTTTTTTTCCCTTCCTTCCTGTACTGCCATTCCTAGATATTTCTCTGATGGCTTTACCTCCATGCCATGCCCTTTGCCAGTTCTATGTTCTAAATGGTGAACTGTCTTGCCAACTTTATCAGAGGTCGGGAGATATGGGACTAGGAGTGCCTTTCAATATTGCCAGCTATTCACTGCTCACATACATGATTGCCCATGTCACAGGGCTGAAGGTAGGCTACTTAACCGTTTTACTTAATCTTGTCTGAGGGACTTAAAGATAAGACTCTTTATGTCATGTCCAAGAAAAACTGGAATGATCATACTGTTTGAAATATTGCTGAAATATGTGTAAGAAAGGGCCCTGTGAATTTAGTGTGAATTGTTTCTGGTCTGTATAGCCATTTAGGATCAGCAATGTAAGAATTACTAAATTCAGGTCAAACAGACGGAAGATCCTCCAGGTCTTTTTAACTGAACACGTCAAAACTGACCTGTTCCACTAGTCTAGTTCTTAGAAATCTGAACTGAGCACTTGTCCTTATGGGATAATAATATACAAGTGATTACATTTTGTAGCATGTGTTTTTTATTGGAAGCGAACAGTAGCTCAGCGGTTGCTGTCGAGGTTCCAATTTGGATATTCTGCCCACCTAACTTCCAGCTATAATTTCAGCTGGGTATTTTTTTCATTTCCTACTGTAGATGATTATGTAGAATGGTAGTATGTGCTCAAATAGCTACTGCCCTGACTCCAGAGCTGTATTTTGTGATTTGGCAGAGTAATTTAAATGCACCACAACCTTGTACAAGTGAAACCTTCTTTTCTTTTGAGCATGTAAAAAATTACACTAGCAAGGCCATTTGGGCCTGATCCTCCTCCTACCAGCAACATGAAGGGGAACTTAAAGTAGAGAAGTAGGGAAGAATCAGACTTCACAGCAATTGCAGACATACTTAAGAAATTAGGCCACGGTACTCGAAAAAGTGAACTTTAACATTATGTCCATAAGGCAGCTGTTGCTGCTCAGCCACTTCCTCTGGTGGTCTTTAGCATAATAAATCCAAGGGCTGATCTACATTGGTCAGAGGCCAGTAAGATAGCTGATAAAACTTACCTAAGTTAAATTACATTGCTCAGGGGCTGCTAGGTCACAGAACTTCCAAGCTTGTGAAACCTATCTGGATACTTGATAAGTGCTTTGGGGTTTAGCCTGTAGCTGATACCTCTGCTGCCACAAACTACGTTGTTTAGTAGTGGCTAAGGCAACTAGTTTGAAACCAACTTTGGCAAGTCCTACTTATTAGAAGTGGAGTGGAAAAGCCGGATGTCACTGCCCCATTTGTTTCCATCTTGGTGAGCAGATCAGTAGTGCTCCATTCATTTACCGAAGCTGTTATCCTAGCAGGTTTTGAAAGATAAATTTTTTGGTAAGCTAGTGGAAATTTCATTATATTTTTCATTAATTACGCATTAGTCTGGGAAGATGGTGTCCTTCGAAGCTTGCAAGGATGTCTTGATAATCCAATCCAGTACAGAGGCTGGAATTCCACACTTGTGGAATGTGTAATTCCACATTACATCTGTAAGATGCTAAGAATCAATACTGTAAGCACTGTAATGTTTTGTTTTCTTGAAACCTGACTATTTGAAGACCACATGTATTCTCCTTTCTCTTCAGCCTGGAGAGTTCATACACACATTAGGAGATGCTCACATATATCTGAATCATGTGGAACCTCTAAAAGTTCAAGTAAGTACTTACTCTGTATTCTTGTATCCTTTTGTCTTCCACGATGCTTATCCAATACAAAGTTACCTTGGTATTATAAATAACATTTTGCAAATATTAATTTATGTGGCTTTTCTTCTCATTTCTACCCTAGTAATTGTAGTACCTTAACCTCTGTTCAACTTGGGTCACAAACAGAAATACAATACAAACATGCTTGAAATGTACATCGGTGTACTATTCTAGAACAAAGTTAGAGATCCAGAATCTGTGCCCATACTTCTGACTTCATCATTCCAAAACCTTAGAAAACCATTCCACCTAACACTGATAAACACAAAATAAAATGTCTTTGTAGTATATCAGAAACGGGTAACTTACCAATTCACAGAGTTAATCAGTATTACTATTTGGCTGAATTTTCTTCAGGAAGTAATTTGCTGCAGAATTTTGTTTCATTAGGCTTAATTTGGACTGAATGTCCTCACCATTTGTATGGTTCGAAACCATCCAGAGAACTAGTTATTAGTTTGGACCCAAATGTTCCTGTGAGAAACTGCAGCACATTTGATGCACATCTGGGTCAGAATTTCCAATTTAGTTTCCTTGGAAGTAATCTAATCTGTAACCACCGGAATTGCTCTGCAAACTGAAAATGCTTGCAGTGCATTTGGATGATCAGGGAATCCACTGTAAAATTATGTTACTGGCCCTTATCAAAATATTGAGGTAGATTCCACCTAACTGTATTATAATTGTCTTTTTTTTTTTTTTTTTTTGAGTACAGGTCTTCTTGGGGAGGTGGGAAAATCTACATAATGTAATCTAAATTGAGAGTAATGAGATCTAATGTATAACACAAAATCTCTGCCTTCAAATATTAGCTTTAGACAATAAGCTTTCTTTTATTTCAGCTTCAGAGGGAGCCAAGACCTTTCCCCAAACTCAGAATTCTTCGTAAGGTTGAAGACATCAGTGACTTTAAGGCAGAAGACTTTCAGATTGAAGACTATAATCCTCATCCACCTATTAAAATGGAGATGGCTGTTTAATGCTATAAACCAGCTTCTATTAATGTGGAAATGTACCAAAGCTACTTACCTTTCTCTGTGCTTAAAGTTATAGGGTTTTTATATACTTCAAAAGATGCGTACTTTATTATTGAAAAAGAAACAGGTACTGGTAGACCTGTACTGCCTTCAGTACTAAACCGTAGTCATACAGAACAGCTGATGATTTATTCCTGC